ATATGGATTCTGTAGCCTTCTTCAGTAGGTGGGGAGAGAACTGTTGTTCTCCCCCATGTTTGCAGGGATGGACCTCATTAAGCATGTTCCTTCTTTATTTTTAGCTTTCCATCAGGCAAACAGCAAAAAAATCAAAGCTTGTTTATAGCCATGCTGGACAGTTCTCCATGTCAATTGCTGCCCCATGGCCTGAACTGTTATGAAAAGGACAACCTTTCATCTCTCCAACCCTTTCAACATATAACATCTCCTGCTCCATTCAAAGCAAATTGCTCCCTATCATGGACTAACTAAAGATTTTTTGATGGAAAAACCTCTGCAAAGGGCTATGGGGGGCTGGCAGTGGAGAAGAAGCATTATGAAATACAAGAATGGATTAAACAGAGGGTGAAGTTGTTAAAAAACACCTCTAAATTATGTAATCAGTGACCTGAGCTCAAACTGTTTGTGTCCTTCCTCTCTTGCAATCCTGCTGCTGCTGTTATGGGTTTTGGCTTGGGAGAAATATTTTTCTGAATCTGTTTCACCTTGATGGATTATGATGCCATTTTAAATGTCAATTGATAATAACTGTGCCATTAAAAAAATCATAAACGTTATCTGTTTAAACCTACAGTGTCCCTTTTAATATTATTTCTAATTTATGGGCATTTTGAGGAATCTACAGAGACCACAGGGCTAATAAATGCGAGGCGAAAGGGGCTCCAGAAGCAGGCTGTGTGAGCTTTCCACTAGATTACTGCCAGCTGTTGAACTTTGAGGAGATCAGAGCAGCTCAGGTGTCACTGGGGGGATTGATAGAATCCAGTAAGGCATAAAGGAGGGAAGACAACCTGCAAGGACATGAGGCTTCAGAGGTGGTGTGGGCAATTTGCAGGCGCAGGTGTGTCTCTGGCTGCCTGAGCTGGCTGAGTTGCTCTGAACAGCTGAGTGAGCAGAGGCCCTGGGAGAGGAGCTGCTGTGAGCTGCAGCATCCACGCTGCACATAAACACTGGACAGCTCCGACTCTGAGTCACATTTGTGCACAGAGTTTAAAGGAGATGCTTCAGAGGCATTGGGAGGAATATCATCCTATTACTGCCTTCATCCAGTGGAAGAGACCAGTGGGCCAGGAACAGTCGTTTTTCATGACTGACAGGGAAAACACAATTCTTCTTCCTCCTTGAGATAGCCAGCATAGGACAAAAAATTCCAAAGTATTGATCTCAAGTAGATTTTAAATCTATGCATCCAGAATTTTTCACTTTCTGAAATTCTTTAATTTATAAACCTCAGGGGCTGTGTGGACCTTTAGATTTGCCTGGCACTGAGAGGATGAGTTGAGAAAATCAACACGGCACAATTTTGTTCTAGACAGCCGCCTTCTGCTGTAAAGGGTTTCCTTCAGAGCTCAGCAATCCCAGAGGAAGATGTGTTTCCTGCCTCAAGGAATTTATAGACTAAATTAGATGGGTAGCACAATAATTGTAACAAATGAGAGTCATCTGCATTTCCAGGTCAAGCAGAAATATAAAAATATCCCCAAACTACCCTGCAAAAGCCAGCATATTAGAACTTGGCAGAAAAATAACTTCTTCATTCTCCGGTAATTTAAAAGTAAATAATTTCTTGTTTTGAACTTAAATAATTTGTTACATTTCAGCAACTCAATCATTTGAGAAAGGGAGTCAACTGAACTATTTTAATTTGCAGAATGTTCATTTGCATTTCAAGGGTCTATTTTTTGCCACTCATCTTTATTTTAACATAATACAAAGCAAGGAAATTCTGGGTGAGCAGTAATTCCAAAGGCAGTATTTAATATTTTTTTTTAATTAATGAAATTGCATTTATCACTATTTTCCCACTTCTGTGTTAAAATAGTAAAATGTTCAAGTCTTTTGGTACTACTTAAACATTTTGATATCAAACCTGCCTTTTTTTCTGAAGAAACTTTTGTACACAAAACATGGGATTTATGCATCATTACACTGCTGCTTTCTAATCCCCTTTCAAGAGTTGTCACTTATTTATCCTATTTCCTACTTTATGCTTGTTTTGATTTCAAATATAGAAGAACAAAAGTATATTTCTCAGTTGACATTGCCTTCAGTTTCAATAAAAAAGTACAATACAATCAGACAGAACAAAAATAAAGCCTTCACAAGGACACTTTCAAGTTGTAAATTTGCATGTGAGCATCTAATTTAAGCACACACAGAAAATCAACTTGTCACTGCAAGCAGCAGGGAGGTTTAAAGTTGCAGACCGAGACAGACTAGTTATACAAACATGCACAATTTGATTTTGTGACATGGGACTACAGAATCATCTCAGCAGGTGCCTGCACAGAGCGAGCTGGTGGCAGTGGAGACAGGCAGTGCAGGCACTCTGAGTATGGGGTAATGCTGAATTCACTCATGACCATAGAAAAGTATTTATTCTATTCTGAGATGGAAACTTGGAGTCTGCCTGTCTCAATTCACTTTACTTTAGAAATTTTTTAACACGAATGCACATGTACTTCTGCCAGAAGGCTACGTTTCTCCCTTTAAAACTGTTTGTGTTTAACACAGCAAAAATGGAGCTGGGGCAAGGACCAGGGATAGAAGGTATAGGTTTTGCCCTGAGAGTCTCTAGGCTAATTTATTCAGCTATTTTACCCAAATATATGGATTCTCTCATGAGAAGTACTGGGATCTATCAGACTTTCCTGTGAAATCCTCCTCTTTCTCCTCCTCCTGCTCCTGCAGCAAGATATGAGCTCCTTGAACGCCTAGGTTTTAATAACAAAGCAAAGACAAAGTTTTCCATTGCAAAGGAAAATGTGGCCTTGCTTCATTTAATAATTGAAGCAGCAATTCCATACGCTGCACTCCTGCACCAATATAGATCCTTCAGAAAAACAGACAGCAGTGGAGGCTTAAAACACAGACATCCCTAGTTCTGATTTTCCTGTGCCTGAAACGTCCAGTAAAAGGTAGCACAGTAAACATCAGAGTGTTCAGACAATGTAATATATACTAAATTAATACAATGAAGGCTGGGTCAAGGACTCTCAACTTGAGGCATCTGGGAAGTAAGATTTGAATCCATTGCTGTATAGGAAGCCAGAAAGCAAGAAAAGTGGCTCCCTTTTTAGTGCCTCAGGCAAACAGAATAGGGAAAATAGGGTGTCTCTAAAAGAATGTCCTAGGTTTCTCCTTGTGCTTTTTCATGGGTTTTGAATCAGGAATCACAAGGAAAAAAGGGAAACCCTCTTATTAAATACGCACTTTTAATCCAGGATACGCATTCAGAGCTCCTTTCTTTCCTTTCTCTCTGCATACACACAGCACGCTCACCTGTTCTCAGCCCATAAATACCCACTCTCTCTCTAAGCAGAGAAGGGGGACACATCCCTCTTTGTGTGCCCAGCCGGGATCACAGCCTGGCAGCAAAGCTGGAGAGGACAAAGCTTGGCTAGAGAGACATTCCTCCAGTGCAGGGATTGAAACAGGAGGGTGTTCCCTGCTTCATGGAGAAGGCCACAAGAACTTTTGCACCCACACAACAGCTGCCGCCTCATCACACAACCAGGAAGGCACAAGATCCTCCTTTATAGAAACAGCAGTGGGATGCGAAGGGAACAAATGAAAACACTTCCCACTCTAGGGCACGTGTGTTGACAGTGTGAAAGACACTCACTGGTCTATCACTGGCCTGGGGAGAAGTTTGGTTCATAAAATCAGATAATTAAATATTCTTCATCACAACTGCATCATTTTGAACCTCTTCCATTGTTCTTTTCCTCATCAGCCCCCACTGTTTTTCCAGTACCTAGAATCTGGAAAAAGCCGAAAGCCTTTCATCTTATCAGGTGTGGTTTATTGCCCCCTGGTTACACAGTAATTTTGGTCTCCACTCCATGAAAAGGTCATACGATGGGATATCAGCTCAAGAATTGTCAGTTCGCTGGACAAATAAGGCAGGCATTGCCAATACAATTATAAGAGCCTGATAAGGAAGGCACAGAGAAGAACCAGCAGGAAAGGGAGAAACGACCATAGCAATTTAAAAGGTGAGGGGCAATCCCAGAAGAAGGCAAGAAATGCCCCTGGGGGGAGGGAGAGAGAAGGAACAAGAGTGTATCTAACCACATTCTTTCCAAAATAAAAATTAACAAGGAGATAGAAGTGGCTCAGGAGAGGAATCACAGGTATTCACCCTCATTAACCGGGAAATCTCCCGCTGTGCTCGATGCCTAATTGGGAGGCTTAAGCAACTGGTAGGATGATTATCAAGCTAGCTTGCCTCATAGCTCAGGATGGAAAGAAAATAATGTCTTCTCTTTACAAGTATAGGTGGGGGGTAGAAGGCACTAATTCCTGCTCCTACACGCGTTGCAAGGACCATCTCTTTTTCTCCCGTGACTGATAAGATGGGATGATGTTGAAAAGCACCTGCTTGGAAAGTTCAAAGGGTTTTCACAATAGAAGAAAAGAGAATCTGAACCAAAGCTGATGGCTAGGAGGGATGGCTGAAGGAAAACCTGGGAACTGCTGGTGAGGAAGCTTTTCATATGTGACACGTCCTTGTATGTGAGAGAAGTTTACAGGTTGTCTCTCTTGCTAGTAAATGGCCCGAGGGTCAAGTATTTGTCCTGCCAATTATTTTCTTAACTCCATAATGGTACAAATCCAGTGGGCTTTTTGCAGGTTTCAGCCTGAAAGCAGAAAAGGAAGATAACTACCCCACAAACAGCATTTACCAACAAGAGGCAACCCTTCCCAGGGCATTTTTCTCCTGGTTCTGCAAGGAGCACACCTCCTTCTGGAATGGCCAGGGAGCGTTCGGAGCTCCGTAAACACGAAGCAAGGGGAATGCTCAGCAGTGGGTGGGGTCGGTAAGACTTTCAACCCACACTTCACTCCTACCACCGCAGGTGCTGGTGCCGGGCCGCTTGGCGGTGAGGAGCAGGCGTGTGCGCTGAGCCGTGGGTGGCCTCTTTCTCCTCCCCGCGCCCCGGGGTGACCCGGGCATGGGTGCGGAGGGCCGGGCCCCGTCCCCGCCGCGCGTCCCGCGGCCTGCTCCGCCAGCCCGGGCAGCACGGCAGCGCTCTGCGGGCCGCGGCCGCCGGGCCGGGAACATGACCGACCCGCGGGTGGCTGCTAGACAGAGGAAGCCCGGCCTGTCCTTTTCCATTGAGGAGATCCTAAAGAAACCTTCTGCCAGCACTGTCCCGAGCAATGACACCAGGAACAGAAGCAGCTACGCTGAGAGACCTCCGTCCCTAAAAGCAGGGTCGCCGGTGGCCTTCGGTAAGTACCAGTCATAAAACGGAATGAAAATGTTTCTTGCTTTCTGGTCCCGAAGGCTGTCAGGTTCAGTCATCTAGAATTTTAATTCTTTAACTTTTATAGGAATTTGGGATTTCCCTTATCAGGTACAAATCGTTCATTATATACACGGAAATAATATTTTAAAAATAAGTTGCTTTCGACCTCGGAGTAGATTGGACTCTGGGGTTTGGTACATTGTAAAGCCTCAATGTCATTGGAGAGGTGAGTATGCAGCCTGAAAAGTTATTTCAGGTAGCTCTCTTCAGTGAGGAGTGCTTATTGTAAAAAATACAGCAGCTTTCCTTTTAAAAACATATTCTTGTTATCTAGTAGGGGGAAAAAGACAAATGTGTGCCTAAGGACAGGTATTCAGACTCAGAAAGTGAGCCTAAGACTGCTACAACTTAACAAAATTTTTTGAGTTTTACTTACACCAGGAATTGACTATTGTCTGGAATTACAGCCAAATCTTATATCAGCATTTTTTTCTGATAAATTTGACCACTCACCCTCAAGCAGGAGAAATGATCTGTAAGGGTAATGGTAGCTACCGGAGTGTTAGAACCCAATTGCTGGAATAAGAAAAGAGAAAGCATATATGTTTAAGAATTTCTTTTTATCATCATGGACATCTTTCATGAACTAAATAAAAACAGCTAGTAGAAAAGTTGCCTGACTTTGATCTTAGCAAACCAGCAAGTGCATTAGACTTTTTGACTTCAGTTTTCACAGTTTAGTTACTCTGGCCTTGAGTGAACTTTTACCCCCACAGAAATTGTCTTCTTCTTTTGTTAAACAAAGAACAACATCCAACATTTTCTGGATTAAATATTTTTTAATATTTTTCAATCTGCATTTTCCATAAAAAATAGATACAAGGAGATCTACTTAAACAAAAAATGACCTGTACTTTTGGTACAAAATTTTTACTCACCTGTCACTCAACTTCTTTCAATAATGTTTAATGCTACACTTTATGTTTCATAATAGAGAGTGGTATTTTCATGTGTCAGGACCCCATTTCCCACTAAAGGGATGAGCCACCCTTTAGTAAGGGAGAGAGTCTTTCTCCAAAAGCCCGTCAGTCCAAGAAACCATTGCCTATTCACAAAGAATGCCAACAAGACCTAAGGGTGAGGGGAACTACTCACTACTGTAACTTGAGTTACTGGGGTTGGACTCAGGCACCCTAACACTGACTCTTAATCATGCTTTGCACAAGATTTGGGCTTCTTTTTGTTCATCTGTGACATGGGACAACTCATCTCCTCACTGTGTGGCTCACCTCACAGCCCTGGGGCTGAATGTAGGTACCACTGCTGCCTTTGGGCTGATAACTGTAGCTTTCCATGGAAACTTGTGTTTGGGAAAGAGAGATGGCATTTTGCTGCTTTTTCCCAGAACCATAGGATAACTGGGGTTTGGGGGGGACCTCTCCAGGTCATCTGCTCAAAGAAAAAGCTATTCCAAGGACAAAATGAGGTTGCTGAAGGCTTTGGCAAATGTTGCTTGCCTGTTTTTCCACGGGTACTATTGGAGGACTGGAGCCTTTGGAGGTTTCCTTCAGCTGATTTTGCCAACTGGAACTGGACAACCAGTCCTGAAAGAAGCAAGAACTTGGTAGTTTGTAGAGGTGGACAAGGACGTGGCTGAGGCTGCTGCTGGTGGAATAGGGCTCATGTGCCAAGGGTTGTGAAGGGGGAGAAATGCTGCAGTGCACTCTGGCAGTGTGGTTCTGTGAGCTGAAAGTCCTTTCCTGAGGGCCCATGGCAGTCAGTTTGTGCCACTGGATCCAAAGTGAGACAAATCACACCACTGAAAATTCAGTCAGTGCTTGTTCACAGCTTGGGCCACAGAACTGCATTTCAACAGCATGAGAGTGTTCTCTGGGAACTCAGACAGGACCTTTTTGTATTAAGCCTTTTTCACAATCAATATGTTGAAGCCCAGTTTCACTGTGTCTCAGCTAAGTGTGTCTTGGCCACTGCAAGTTCGAGGGTCTGACAAGTCTGCATGCAGGACATGGTGGGCTCCTGCACTACTGCCCTGCCAATGCAGCCTCAGCCCACGTTGCTCCACCTGAGCATACAGTCAGTTTCACATCCTGAAAGCAATGCAGGCAGAACCATCAGGCCTTGCCTTTGACTTTTCTTCACCACCTTCACACCAGAGAGAGACTCAAGCTGCAGCAGGAGAATATGGTGACTCTTCTCTCCCCTGCTAGAAAGCAAGGGTGGGTCATAAACTTAAGGGAAGGTAGAATATTAATTAATGAAAACAATATATATATGTGAAGATTCATTTAATTGTTGCTGGAAGTGGGAGAACAGGAAAGCTGTAGAAATCTTCCAAAATGTTTTTGTACTTTGTTTTTGCAATTAATCAAGGAATTTAAAAAAAAAAAAAGAAGAAAACAAAATCTTTTCACTATTTGTTTCTTACCTAAGAATGTGGTACCTAAATTTATTACCCTTTGCTTTCTGAGCAGAACTGTGATTTATTCAGATAAATTATATTTATTTCAGAAGTGCAACACCCTGTGCTGTACATCTTGGGATGATTGTTGTATTCCATCTAAGTCATTCAGCTTCATGCCATATAACACTGTCATTAAAAAATTTGTGTAAATAATCAGCCACATCTGGTATGGCTCAGTGCTGGCCAAGGTCAGGGAACTGAAATGAGCTAGGGAACTTGCTGGAAATTCCAGGATGGGACACAAATCCAGCTGCTTTCTCATAACAGTTCAGCAGTAGCAAAGAAGGAAGTACTACAGGTCAGGGGTTAGTTATATTTTACTAAGGTTTTTAAGAACATTCCCCACAATCCTCTATGGTATTTTTCTGACCAGAGCTATGATTCATTTGTGAGACAGGAAGATCCATATGACACCACATAGGCTACTGTAAGGTAAATACTGAGGCCAGAAATTACCATCTGATGTAGACAGTCTCAGTACCAAGATCACACTTGTCCTGGAGTCTAAATCTAGTTATCAGCTGAGGAGATGGGTAGGACCAGGGGAACAGAAGATGGAGAATGTCAGAAATGGTTGGACTAGGTGGTCTAATGTTTGGACTCGGTTATTATAGTATATTATATAAAGGTCTTTTCCAACCTGTGATTCTAAATGAGGGGTGCAAACCAAGATTCCCAAGAAAACTCATGGGTGCTGGATCAGATGACTTCTAGAAGTTGCTTCTAACAAATTATCCTAAGTCTCTGACAACAAGGATGTTGTGATGTACAGTGCAAGCCTCTCAAAGAGTGGTATGGGAAGATCTCTAGGCCTGACTCCTGAGTTCATATGTTTTTGTGAGTGTAATTCCAGTGGGACTTGGAATAAGGAGTGTGCAGTGTTCTCTGAAGCATTTGGCTTTCCAGTTGCAGTGTTAGTCATAGCGGAGTTCACTGCACAAACACAACAGCTAGAGGACCTGGAGCTGCAGTTATTGAAGCTGTTGAAATAATTGAAAGAGTCTTACCAAATTAAAAAAAAAATAATGGACAAGAAGCCATTTTAGTATGCAGTCTGCTTTTCCTCTCAACCTTTTGTCACAATGCTTGAAAGGGTAGCCATGGCCTTTGCAAGGAACACAATTAAACACCCAGTGAGTGCTGATCTCCTCCCTTGTGCCAACTCTTTCATTTAAAACACAGAAGAATATCAGACCTAGTTCAGAAAAAAAGATTGTTCTGAAATTCTTGGGAACCTGATTTTAATGTACTTGACATTACATCTGAATTGGTTGTTCATTACTCCCCTGTTTTCTGCCAGTGAGGTTTCACCAACAGGAGATCCTTTATCAAGTCAGGGAAAACTTGGGATGAGAGTGTTACACCTGGGAAATTATTAGTGAATGCAATAACAGATATGGTAATTTCGTCATTCTGCCTGTGTTATGCTCCATCATGTTAAGGATATGCAAACTAATAGGAACACAACCACCACTTCACACACAAACGTCAATATGGTGATTGTTCACCTTTAGCAACACTCCACCCATCCTTATCACTAAAGAGGAAACAAACTGAAGGAATCTAACTGAACAGATACCATCTGGCCAATAAGACCAATTCATCCCACCTATTGCAAGGAAAACCAATAAACCTGGAAAGCAAAAAAATAGGAAAGAAAGAAAAATATGTAGAGGAAATAGAAAAAAAACCCCACAGTACAAATATGCTTCCATTTAGACTCTTCCCTCTTCACAGCGTTAATAAGACCCTAAAATCATAAACCTTGTGCCTCCTCAGGTCTGTCTCTAGTGATTGCACAACAAGGCTTAACTGGAACTTAGATCATCTGAAATAACCTCTGCCTTCAAAGTGAAACCCTACTACCTTGCCTGAAATTGTCCATCCTTTACTATGCAACTGAAAGTCAAGAAAAAAGACCATTTTGAGCAACAAGTCAAAGTAATTTCTGTGCATGGCAGTAACAAGTATCTCATGTTGTGCTGGACTAAAATGTCATTGCCTTCTCTGGGGGGGGGGGGGGGGGGTTGGGGTGGGGAAAGAAAAGTACATTCTCTGGAGGAGGTTTTGCCCCATGTCAGTTTATAGCTGCTTTTCAGAGCTCTTGCTGGAGTCACATAAATGTGTACCAAAAAAAATTCAAGCTGACCTTAAGAGCAATCACTTTAGGCAGGCTTTTTACTTGGTCAGAACAACAAACACCAGAGAAGGTTGCAATGCAAACAGGATTAGGGCTCCAACTCTCAGCTATGTGCTGTAAACTCAGTATTATTAAACTCTGCCTTCAATCTTATCCTCCTGAAAAACTCCTTGATTAATTCAGAGGCTCATACTTTGAGGTTCATACTTCTTTGATCTCAAACAACAGATCCTCCCACTCCTTTTCACCAGTTCACAGAGACATTGGCATTTTCCAGTCTGCCTAGGACTGTCTTCCATTTCCTCCCTCTTCTTTCTGCCTCAGTCGGTAATTGCTCTGTCCGTGCTCATACATAACTTGTGCTCATTACTGGGGTGTGTGAGCATCTCAGGAAAAATACTGGGGAGGAAAGTTGTAAATAAAGAATAAAGACCCGTGAAAAGTCTTCTATAAGTTAGGAAATGCTAATGTCATTCTTTAAAAGCTTTAATCACTCCCCATAAGAGCACCTTGCTTAGGTACCCTCACATTTTTCATTACTGTAGCATATAAGCATCATCACTTTTGTAACATGAATTTTCACATCATCATATCTAGCAAAGGAGTGCAACTAGTCCTTAATTTAGGGTTGGGAGACTAAGATAGAAGTCCTGGGCTAGGAACCTATGCCAGTACTGATACCATCTGATCATCTGTTGTTTAACCCCTGCCTCATGCTAGTGACTACTCCCAGGTCTATCCTTCTCCTTTATCCCACAAATATTATTCAAAACCTCACCTGTTTTATCTCCAGAAAACTCAAAGTTAGTTGATACTGAAGGAATAAAATTAGTTCCGTTTTGCACAATGTGCCTCAAATGCAGAGGTGGACCAGGTTTTTAAGGTCCACATGACTGTACACATGTAATTTTGTTTAGAAGGTTACTCAGATTGGTGATATTTTAGATAACATTTGAACAATTATTCTTTATTGAAATTAGGCTTTGGCTAATTTTTGGAGCTCTTATAACTTCGTTTTCTTCATGTAAGTGTCAACCATCTATAAAACTCCTATTGTGTGAGCTCTTAGTGAGGGCAGAATCAGAATTAGGTACTTTGTCTCTAGATGTTATAATTATCATTGCTGCAATGCTGCTTTCAAATAGAACTTGTTTGTTTGAGAAAATAAATCTCTAACAAGTCTAAAAACTTAGATATTTTGCCAATGTCAGACATGACAACAAAAATGTATATATATACACACACATAAAATGTATATTAAAAAGTGGAGTCTCTTCAAGTACAGCCTGTAGTGGTTCACACCTGCTGCCATTTAGATATGAGAAGGGAGAGAGGACCACCCAGAGGTGCAGCAAACTCCAGAGTCCAGATGTGGGAGACTGCTCAGGAGTGCAGTCCATTATTGCATTAGGATTTTAATGTTCTTTGGAAATAATAGCAGACAAACCTGTACTATCATATTTGCTCCCAGGCCATTCAAACCATGAAACCTAAATTCTACAATGGGTACATTATGTTTATGTGTTGCTTTTTACTCTGGCTTTCCAAGCAAAGAATACAGGTGGGGAGGAGAACTAGAGCAAATTCTGGGTTTGCCATTAAAGCAGCACAGACACAGATGTCTTGTCTCTGAAGAGAACTGAGCCATGATTGCAGCTACCAAAGGCAGCACATGAAACATTCAGCACCAGGGTTTATGGCAAGGCTGTAATACAGAAAAGGGAAATGGAGAGTGGGGTATTTGGTGTAACTCTCTTGGGATGCTAACAGCCACAGACAGCCCACTGCTGTAAACCTCGAGGCTTCCCAGCGTGTTTTGTTTCAGTGCATGGCTTTGCAAGGTCTGCTTGCATTCATAAGCAGGAGTAAGAACTCATACTACATTCATTGGGGCAGAAAAGTCATCTGGAAGATCTTTGTGGTGCCCCTAGTACACAATTGAGGTAATAAGGCAACGCCATGGCTGAAGAAAGATTGTGGCTTCTGGGACCAACTTCCTCAGCACTTGGATTCAGGTGTCCTAGCACATGAACATCACTGGTTGCTGCTGAGGTTACTGCAGTTTGTGTATAATGTCCATGCTCAAATCTAAGTTAATGTTACAGCTGTACTTAGTGAAAATAGGCCAACTCACGCTTCTCCTGTTTGTCCTGTCAACAAGAGCATGCAGGTGATTTCACAAAGATGAGCTGGCTGTCAGTACCTTTCTAGATATCACCAGCATTACTTGTCACAAAGGCAGAGGGGAAATGTTGACAGCCTGGGCAAAGGCTGCCTTTAGAATTGTCCAATGCCTAAATCAGAGGAGCAGGCAGCCCAGATGGAGAATCAAGGACATAGGGACCTGAATTGGGGAAGACACTGACTTTTAGCCTATTCATTGGCCCATTTTCCTATAGGGTAGATGTACCTACAGGGACATTTAAGAAAGGATCAGACTTTTAAAAGCATTTGGCATCCAGCAAATTCCATGGCAATCTTGTTGACAGATTTTCAGAGCAGCTCAATATCCACTTTGCTTCCAAGTTCTTCCAAAAAGACAGCCACTAATTTGGATACTGACAGGGAAGCTTGGATTTCTCAATCTTTTGGTTATGTCTCCTTATTTTTTACAGTCCCTTTTAAAAAATCTCTTTATAAGGACCGTTGAAAGTTTTAAGGTGGAAGGAAGCAGAAAACAGGGAAGATTTGGGGGTCAAACCAAGGTCCTGTATCTGCAACATGGGCTAATCTTGGCATTGAAGTACAGCACAGAAGGATTAGGGCCATTTTAAGTATGAATGGCACAATATCCAGACCACTTTTTTCACATAAACTGGAAGGTGTGCTGAATGGTGGTGACTGCTTTATTCAAAGCTGTCTTGTGCTGTGTCCTTCACAGATTCCAGCAGCCAAAGTCAGTCTGACTGTGACTTACCTTCAGCCAAAATCCTTCTTCCCACCATGTGTGCTACACCCATGGCCAAAGCAAGGAGAGTGCAGGCAACTTACTGCAAGAGAAGACCTACTGCCAACCCAGTGTCCTTCCTGGGTGAGGACACAGGACGTGAACGTCTGGAAGGCAAAAGAAAACATGAGGAAGATCAGCTATGTGGTTTCCCAGTGGACCATCCCCTTCATGGTGAGTGCCTCTGTATCCAGACTTTCCCCTTCAATGCCCCAAAACACAGCTGTTATCTTACAGTTATGTATATGGTGATACCAAGCAACAGACAGCACGAGTGTTTCCATTGGCTGAGTCACAGGAGTTGGTCATAGCTCTTGGATGAGTCACAGAGACAGTTCTTCATTCTTGCCATCAAAAGCCACTATTTGAGCCAAAGTTCCAGCTCAGTCTTACCAACTCTACCAATGTTAGTGGTAGAGACTGTTTTGGGTGTTTGTTGCCCTCCTGCTTGGGTTGTGAGGAGTTGCCACGTTCTGAGCCTCACTGCTAGGGTTGTGGAACGCCCATTTCCTGAAAATGTGCATTGCACAATGTGGGGAGAGAGACTGGTGAATAAGCTGAGTCAGCTCACTGTGTTCTGTACACCTTGGACCCACTGTAGAGGTGATGAAGAGGTCACCAGCATGCGCACAGGCAAACTGGCGACAGGCAGTAGATCTGGCAGGATGGGTCAGGCGCTATTGTCAATGCTGGCCGTGTTGGTGAACCTGCAAATTTAATTAGTTGTGAACATTGGTAAATAGTGGTCTATCTCCTAGCCAAAGCACTGTACAATACCAATATCCTTTTCCAATATGTTGCACAGGGACTTTAGGCTAAGCAGGATATGTGGTACCTGAACAAGACTAGTTCCTAGCAGACAGCAATTAATTGGCAGCATGTGACAGAAATTTCTCTATGTTCTTTGTGTTTGAGGAAAAGTAAATACAGACGTTCATACTATACTCCAGAAAACAGGTTTGCAGCAGCAGAAAGATGTTTTTGCATAGTCTCTTATTATTTACTCCAGGGAATAGAAGGTATTTCATTTAAGTCCATTGAAGATGGCAGATATGGGGTTACTCAGCTGGCTTTTCTGAGATTCACACATCATCCTTGCTCCATACTCTGCAAGCTGGCAGGAGAAGGAACGCTTTCTGTGAAATACATTTGAAAGAAAATCCCTGTTTCTGCCACTGCTGCCAAGGTATACATGAGTCTTGTGACAAGCTGCTGTCACCTCCTCCTCCTGCACGAGACAGCCATCAGTCTTGATGCAGGGAGAAGCCTTGTAAGATAACTGGAAATTTTAGCTTTCCTCTGCCCTGTAAGCTGCACACAGCTCATGACAGCAGGGCTAAATCATGTGGCCTCCTCATAGGAGTGCCAGGGCTGTATGCATCTGGCTCTCAGAGTTGCCTCTGAATATAAAAGTAGAATATTCACATAATCTCTATATAAGGGAGTCTCCAGCCAGGAGGATCACACCATAGCTGGGAGGTGGCTATCCTGACTTGGCACTTAGCCAGCCTCATCAGTAAAGCAGGGGAGGTAGCATGCAATTATCTGCACAAAACAGAGCCAACGTGAGCAGCCCCCTTCAATGGCAGCGTGTATTTTAAAGGCATTTTAAACAAAATCCCTCTGTTCCCTGGTCACAGTGAGGTTTTGAAGCCAAGCAGAGGTTTAATGATCTGTCATTTCCTAGGCTACTAGTTCCTGCAGTTGCTGAGCCTTTGATAGAAGCTGGCTGGAGAAGGAGGGAGAATCCTAAAGCGTGGGATTGACGTTTTCCCTATATGGTGCAAACAATGATGTTTCGGATCCTGTTCATACACTACATCGTTCCTAGCAGAGAGCTGGAGGCCTGGGTTTACAATACTTTCCTGTATCTCAGGTTTCAGCCTCCTTCTTCCACTTGACATTACAGGGAAGAGCTGGTGGTTCTTTTTCTCCTGCCTCTGGCTGTGGCAGGTATCACCTTTCTCAGACAAAGTCAGCAACAACACCTGCAGGAAGGGTAGACTGCAGCATCCCTGGAAGCGGTCTGTAGTCCAGCTGATAGCAAATTAACTTCTGTTTACGCACCTGTCAGCTGTGGGGGGCTTCAGACCTGCTTTTGGCATGGCAGCTACAGGTCAGTTACGGGTCCTCTGACAAGGCACCTTGGCAGTCCCAAATGCCCATAGTGTATCCATGGAGGTGTCCCCAGGACCTCCCTCACACCCACACCAACAATGGCTGTAAGCACTCAGAGGAGCATCACCAACCTCAGCAGCAGGAGACCTTTCTGATGTGCAAAGACATGAGAAACCCTTCGTGGGGCATTCCCTCCCCTCTCTCTGTTAGCACACATCTATTGATGGTTTGTGAGGAAAGGCCCTGGGTCTGTCTAGACACACACATCTGTTTAGTTGTCAGGGAATAGAAGAAATCAGGCATGCTATACAATCACCTTGGAGGCAGGAGAGCTGGGCTTTGGTGCTATTTTGTATGGGAGGAGAAAGGTGAGGAGGCTTCAACAACAGCCTCCTTCATGGGCATGTGGTCTGAGATAACAAGAGCACCCCGACTGTGACCCTGAGTATGGGATTTGAAGCATATTTCCATAAAACTCTGTAATTCCCTAAAATTCCCTAAAATGTTTCTTTTCCCCACAAAATGGCTTCTGCCACTAAGCGGTTTAGAAATGCAGTGTCATTTAAGCTAAATAGATTTATGTCCTTATCACAAACCACTGCAGGAAGCAATGGCTCTTGTACTTTGAACTTAGAGGCTGCCCTGTAAGCAAAAAAAGAAGAGGCCTCATATGCTAGAGACATGCTGACACTGGCATTTAGTTTTGCTAAACCCTTATTTGAATTTGGGTGCCTTCATTCAGAATGCTGTATGCCTTCACCTGTGGCCTTCTGCATGGAAAGCTCAGCTGAGCCTTTTCAGAAAACCTGGATTCTTGGAAAGCAGCATTGATAAAGCCCATTTCAGAAGGAAAAACAGCTTTGATAAAATCTGCTTTAGAGGGAGATAATTTGAAAGAAGGCCTTACTTTGAAGCTGCAGGTAGAGACTCTGTTTGGGCCAGCTTCTGTGAGATGAGTCATTGCAGCCCCTTTGCCATGCGCAACCACCATCGCTGCCAAGGGATTCAAAACACCAGAGCAAGCGGGGAAAACTCTTGTGGTTGTTGGTCACTCTCTCAGCACCTGTCTATGTAAACACCCAAATCCTGAGCTCCCACTTTCCTTTACTTCTCTCTGCCCTGACCTCCCTGGGACTCAGCTTGCCAGTCCAGAAGAGTAGAGCACTGGAGCCTGAGAGGATAACACACTCCCATGCCTGCCTGACCTGCCTGCCTGTAGCAGCTCCTGGTGGAGATTGCCAAGTACAAGATCCCAGCCTAGTTTGGATCCTCCTGGGCAATCATTTTGCAATGAGTCTTTTACACATGCTGGGTTTGATTGTATACATTGGGCAGGTGTGCACTTGTAACTATATCCAAAGGCAGTGCATGACTGTGCCCTACATTGCGCACAGATAATGGTTCCAGTCTCCTGCTCAAGCAAAGGAGCAGCTGCTGCCTTGGAGAAGCCAGGTAGCAGCATCACCTTCAGGCACAGGTGGATGTCTGGTCCTGTGGGATTTCTTCTCTGGGCAGTAATTCAAGGACTGCATAGATCATGCTTCAATAAACAGAGCTGGGTCCTAATTCCCCCAGAAACTGAGGGCTTCAGGCTGGGAACCACATGTGGTTCAGAGGTTCATGTTATTTCCTGCAGCTCAAGTCTTCATTATTTGCTGTAGAGGAGGCTGCCCTAATGAGTCAACATCACCCAAATATTTCCATAGCAAAAATCTTCTGCAGGTTGCTGACTGTGAGCTCAGGGATCTTTTTATTAATCTAATTGTTTTATTGTCATGATAGCATCTGCGATCCCAAAGCATATTGATGAATTTTGGTGGCAATTTTCGTAAGGACAACAGAAAGTATAGAGATAATCTCAGTTGTGGAGGAAGTCCAGTATAAGTCATGTTACCTCTGTACTGATGCCAGTTGCAGACATCCTTAGCTCAATGTTTATGTTTTCTCTGAAGTCATAAATTCACTTGTACTATTCATTTGTGGGCAATATGGTCAAATCCCTGTACCTCTGTGAAACAGCATGGTTTATCTCTCATGGAACAGTCTTTTCCCCAGTATGTTGACTTACCTTAATGTGCTTCTGAAACACCCAAGAGACAATGAAGCACTGTGCAATCACAATCCCAGATAAATATCAGCTGCCCAGACTACACCAATGGGACTGTGAGAAAGGGCACAAGCATCTCATTGTCCTGCAGAACAAAAGGAAACAATTTTAAATGAAAAGGAAAAGCAGGAGGAAAAAAAAAGAAATGCCCATATATATAATTTGGCTGCCATTACTGTCTTACCAGCCTTTTGTTTATCTGTGTGAATAGTCCCTGCAGCCCTCTGTCTCTAAAGTGCAGTGTTCCGCTCTATACACTTGGAAATGCCCCAGACCATTGACCTTGTTTTGGTGGGTTTACTTGAGGTATTGTTGCAGGCTGATTCTTTGTTTTCTCCCTCTTTGAAGACCGACTGTTTATAATGACACCCTGGATATTAAATGAAAACCTGAATCCTTTACTCTCACCCTTCAAACTCTGTTCACATAGAAGTCTCACTGGCATAAGTAAGCACTGTATAAAGCAAAGCTGCCAGCAGCCGGGGACTATCATGAAGTCCTTTTGTGTTGTTTCTTCATGGGTTTTGGGTTTGGAGTTTTATTTATTTAAAGCAAATTTTAGCATTCAAAGCTTTCCTCAAGCCGTCCCTTCTTCCCAGGGAATTTTGGATACAAAGGGTACATTACACAGGACCCAGAGGTTGATTTGTTCCTTCTAGTCGAATCTGTATGGTGTGACCACTTGTAAAGCTGATGGCACATCATGATTAGTTTATTTCAAAGGCCTTAATGAGTATTTATTGGCTTCTCCAAAATTGTCCTAGAACTTTTTATTAAAGCCCTGGGATATGATACTGTTTATTACTGTTCTTTGAAACTGAGGGCAGGTCTTTTACCTACTCTTTTCGCAAGCCTTTTATGCTTAAAGGAGAAACAGTAGAGGCAGGGATGTAAATAAACATTCCTGATTGGTGTCTAGATGTTTGCAGGTAAAAATAATCACAAAGAG